GAGAGAGAGAGAGAGAGAGAGAGGGAGGAAGAGAGAGAGAGAATATACTCTGACACGCATAAAATAAAAACCAGATAAACATGACCGATTTCTGATTTATATTCTTAATAAATTATTTCCGAAAAAAAAAAAATGCATGCTTCTTACAGCAAACACAATATCATTATTGTGCTTCTGAAGGCTCATATTATCATAATAGAGGCACTTAAAATTCCCGTTTCTTTGAAGGAAGAGGCCATGACAGCAGAATGGCTTCGGCCTTCCCAGGAGGGATAAGTCAAGGAAAGGCTAATCGGTGCAACGAACCATAACTGTTATTTCTACTACTCGGCGTGGGGCGAAAGTACATGTAGTGTCCTTTATTGATCGTTGGGCTGTCCATGTTAGACGAGTTAGAAAGTGCAGTCGCAGAAAATATGTAGATAACCCTGTTTAGTCATGTTTATGCGTCAGTCTGTGTTGGCAAGTAAACATTTGGAAAACCTCCTCCCTTTTCCACTTCTTTTATGATATAGGTGTTTTACGGCCACATCCATAATACTGATTATGATCACTAAGGAAGCAGGCTTCGACCCCGCCTGCCATGGCCAGTGCAGGCAAAAAAGGAGTGCAACGACCCAGCAGGAAGATCGAGATACTGGATAAAAATTCTACCCCCCACCCCCCACACGCCCCACGGGAGTCGAACTCCAGTCTGCTGTCACACTTCTGTGTGCTATAGCGAAATGCCTGACCGCTACACCACAAGATACCGGTATGTGACACCGCTCTACTTCAAAACAAAGAAACGAAAAGACAAAACAGCGACAATTATAATATAGCAATACATCATATTAGCCAAACTGAAACAAGAGTAACCCCCATGTGACCGACGAGCGGTACAGATACAGTCAAGTATATCGCAGCATACAGTCATGTTCGGTGGTGTCACGAAAACTTTTTTTAAACTGACAAATCCGTATTTCTATTTACTATTTTTTCTTCATTTATAGAACTAGATCTATTTGATTTTACTCAAATTTATTTATCGATTTCCATGAGCTATGAGGGGGGGGGGGGTGTGTCCAGATATAAGGGGCTTCTAGAACTTATACGTTTGAGCTATATACTCAGCGAAGACTGATTGGGGGGCTCTCGTGGCCTAGAGGTTAAGGTGTTGGCCTCTCATTCAAAGGTCCCGGGTTCGATTCCGGGTAGCGACCAAAAAAAATTTTCTTCTCTAAAATTGTCTCCTTTCACATCCTTTCCTGATCTCTAACAATGTTCTGTTGTCTGCTTTCATTTCCACTTTCTGCCCCCACCCCCTCACCTCCTTTGCCCCCTCCTCTGGGCTCCTGACTCTTTCTGCAGCCTTTCTACTGCTACTCCTTGGCTCCTCCTAACTGCTGTCTTTCTGCCACACCCCTGATCTTCTGGTAGGAAAGATCTACACCTAGCCTTCTCGGACAAGGGCGAAAAATCTCGGAGGGCCCGTGTGCAAGTTGCGCACGTTAAAGATCCCTTGGTGGTCAAACATCGATAAGAGTAGGCTTCGGCCGCCACCCGGGCAAAATTCAAAATTTCCTACCAACGAAAAAGTATTAGGTGTGTCCCGCGCGCTCATATGACCTTATGCAGTTGCGAGCGCCGTAAAACCCTATACTAAATAAACAAACAGAAGACTGATTAGTATTATTTTTTGGTATAGCAGTTAGCCATGGGAACTTTTTAAAAGTTCGGTAAATACACAAAAAGATCCTTTACGTTAAGCTCTTATTAGATATCGGAGAATTACAACTTTAAGGGGTAAATCATTCCCCAAAATTACTAAGATGGGATACATAATTATTATTTATTTTTCAATGCGTCCTTGACGACCCATTCACTCCAGTATCCCTTCTCCACACAACCAATGTTCTCTGATGTGGTTTGCTCCTTCTTTCCATCCAATCAAACATCTCTCGTCCTTATCTCTCCCACGTCCTTTCTGAGTATGTTACTCTCTTATAAGACATTTATTTTTCGGCACTTATATGACCTTATTGTGTTGCAAGTGCCGTAAAAGTCTTACTAACACAAAAAAAACCCGACTAAAACCTAACCAATAATATTGTTTTCATGATCTCGGAAAGAGGCTAGTGGTGAAGGCCTGTCCCTTCTGGGATGAGAGTGTATTTATTGGTCCCCTGATCTGACGGACTGGCAGTGACAGAACTGTTCGTTTATAGGTCGTCACCTGCTTGTTTGAATCCGAAAATAAAAACTATAACGCAACAACAACAACAACAACAACAACAACAACAACAACAACTACAACAACAACCCAACAACCCCAAAACAAAACAAAACAAAATAACTCAAGCGAATGCTAAACTCCCCCAAGGTCTTGGGCAAGAATGAAAGTTGACAATCCATCAATATTGAAAGGGACAGAGGAAGATGAACAGACCGTTAATTTTCTTTCTTTCTTTGTGTAATTATTTTCTTCGTTTATTCATTATTTCTTTCTTCCTTTTGTCGGGGCATGTTGGAAGGACGGAGGCTCTAAAATTTCCCCCGCCAACTCCGACAAATGAACGCGTAGTTCTTATCTTATTGACTCCC